CAGGGAATTCACCACAAAATCATTACACTAAAAAGTGACAATTTTGATTGATTAAAATGGTATGGGCTGGATAGTGTTAAATCACTCTGAGTGATATGACATTATAATTTTACATAGCATATTTCTGCCAAGACAATGAAGGTAAAAGGCATTGTCATCAGATGATAACAGACAATAAGAAGAATCCTGATGTTAGATTTATTACCTGGTTTAGATTTAGAAAGAAGTAATTCTTGTCCTGTTCCACTTATCAAATGATTGTAAATTCAGTGATGATGTAAAATCCTAAGGCTGAGCCACTTATAGGTTTGACAAAGTGCCAGCTATAAAGTATTTATTGTCTTCAATGTTTCTGCCTTACACACTTAAATATTTATCAGAAACATAAGCCCCTCTGATAAATGTTTCTGATCTTTGTGGCTAGATTATTTTTTTTAACATCTAGATTTTTTATCAGAAACTACATCTACATTTTTATTACATTAATAACTTTGAGCTGACAATTTGAAAAGGCAGTAGGTGAGTTTTAAAATTTTGTTTCTTTTAACTTCTGTTTTTAAGTGTGAAATTTTTGCAGCAGTAGTCTTCATTTAGAAATTAGGACTTCCTTATTTTGCTATATGGGCAGAAGCCCAGACAAATGTTCTAAATTTCATCCTGTGGATTTACCAAATGCAATGTAAGTTGATGGTGGTCTAGGTACAATCTAAGAAAATGTATGGTGTCCAAGTACATTAGGTGTTTATTTTAATGCCACTGAACTCCATCTCCTGTCTTGAAGGATACAGGTACAGGGTGGTCCTTACCCTGGGCCTAGGGGAATCTTGATTGGGAGCACAGTTGTCTGGATCAAAGATTAGCACCCGATTAGTTGTGCTGGCCTGTGATAGGTGGGGAGGCATGTCACTGGCCCTGGGAAACAGGGTGCTGTCCAGGAGGTGTGAGTCTGGTCCTGGTTAGATCTTCTTAAGACATTCAGAGTGAGACACATGAATGGTAAAGCAACTCGAAGCACAGAGACTCACAGGAAGAAAGCAATGAGTAGACTCCATGAGGTTTCCAAGGCCACCACGTACAAGAGCCAGAGGGTGAAGGAAGAAAAGCAGAGTCATCTAGTGAACAGCGAAAGTAGACGTTACACGACCTGCAGTAAAAAGTTGGGCAACCATTAGGAAACTGAAACTTGTGATTCAGGACTGAAAGTGGTCTAGGCTGCTAGAAGAAAGCTGCCTGAAATTACCTTTTGTCATTCTTCAATTCCTGGGAATTGGTACCGGAAACTGACTTTAACACTAATAAACTGGGCTTCTCACTCTTCTTCCAACTTTAAAAAGTCTAACACATGTAAGAAAGTAGAATGAACTCATATGATCGCAGAATTTTAGCTCTACAGGAGAGCTTAGAGACGTCTTGCCAAAATACTTTTCTACTTATTTTTATGACAAAGAACTTCATAATAAAAATAAAGCTCCCCCCCACCCCTTTTTTTGCTCTACTAGCTGATCATATACTGTGATCGTGAGCTTCTTAAAGCCACAGACATATCTTAAGTAAGTGTTTCTCCTGGCTCTGGTACAAAGGCTCTGCTTTTTGAATAGTGAGTCATAGCAAAATCTTATGGCATTTGTTAATTTAGATTTGCTGGCAGAGCTGGTTAATTATAAATAGTTAAAAGAGGGTATATAGTAAAAAAATGAAGTGGTAAGACTAACCCTCCCCAGTCTATTTTAACACTCTCTTCTGCACATCGTACATACCCTCATATACACACTCAAATAAAAGAATTCTTAGCCTTGTCGGCTGATTAAGGAGGTTTTATATCCATCAAAATTGGTCCTGGAAAATTCATTGCACAAGGCTAGCATTTGGGGTTCAAAATTGCATGGGCAATAGGGCACTGATAGTATCCAACTAATTTACAGTTAGGTCTCCACACTTGCTTAAATTCATGGATTAAATGTGAGAAGGGTTTTACATTTGGAACATTTTCTGTTTCAAGGATAAGGAAGGTTAGTGTGAAGCTCAGTTCTCCGTTCCTCTAATAATTTACGTGGAACATTCAGTATCAGTGTCATTTTCTTGAATATCAAAGGCTAAAGATTATTTTGAATAAATCTAAACCTAAATGAAGTCTCTGGGAAATATGACATGTCCGTTAAGCAGACTGTTTCATAGAAGGAGAACAATTAGTTGAATTCAGGGACATTTCTTCAATTTTAGTCATCTCTATGAAAGAAGGGCTGTCAAAGTTACATCTGTCACACAAATTTGCTTTGACTCTAGTTTTATGTTCCTTTGAGATAAATCCTTCAAAGCCAGAATAAATAATTCTCCAAAATAGCATATAACAAAGAAAGAATGCTATTTCTAATCTTCATCTGGGTTTTATCTTAGGAGTTATAAAGACGAAGCCTTAGTTTTGGAGTAATTTTGAATTGTGGTCTGCATTGGAGAGTTGGGTTCCCTTTGCTATGAAAGTGTTTAAATTTCCTATTTGAAGCTGGCTTCAAATGGACTTCTGAGAATTGTGATGATTTATGATACATTAGTCAGAGGTTGGGTTTAGGAAAGAGAGAAACCCAGCAATTTCCATACTATATTCTCTTGGAGGAGTAGAAGTGTTCAGGACAAAGGCAGACACAGGATGCATTGTGACCACTCACAAGTTACCCTGCTCATTGTGCCAAATGGGGTGTTTGGATTCTGTGTGACAGCAATTTTTGTCTGAATTCTGGAACAGAACAAATCAAAGAGAAACTCAAGAAGGTTTGGAGTCCTTATTTGTGTAAAAAGAAAGAAAGAAGAATGAAAGTGATGAAGATCCTGTAAACAGAAAAATTTTATCTTGTGCTGAGAAGAAAGAGACATTTCAAATGTTGAGATGTATCTTTTAAAGGAGAACCTAAAATCGTCCTTCCCAAGGCTCAGGGCTGCTAGAAATTGAGAGGGAAACCCCAGCCCTACTGAAGAGACAAGATCATCTTCAAAATTCTTTAGGAACCAAACCTTTTTTTTTTCTTTTCTTTTTTTAAAGAATTAGTTCTAAGGGGCCCAGGGACTTATTCTTCTACCAGACATGATTTGTTTATTAGTTTCACTTGATTATCAGGAATCAGTTCATTTTGTGATCAGAGTTTTTTGCCGCTCTTGGCTGTCTCATTCACAACCGGAATCCTGAGTGGTTTTCACTTGGACAGAAAGCTCCATGGTTCTACACCTTGCTTTGGTTGTACTGTTGAAAGCAGGAACTTCAGACCCTGGGTCTGTCATCCGCAAGGATGTCCTCTAATAAACCCTGTTTCTTCCTGGAAAAATTGTAAAAGCACACCCATCAGGTGGGGCAGTCAGACAGGCACCAGGATGCACAGATTGGTTAGAAATTAAAAGGCAGATTACAGCACCGTCTCAGCAGGGTATAATCTGTACACGACAGCTCTGCTTCTTCACTTACAATCTCTGCAGACTGGGTCTCATGCCTGCGGCCTCTGCCTTAAACCCTTACTGGATTCACACTTGGAGGCACCAAAGGGCGACCCGTATCTCACGATGACCCCCTAGGGCTTAGCTTAGTGTTGAACACAGTCAGCCCTCTGAGCCCTGTTCTGCTGGCATCTGTGGGTGGCAGCACCAGACCATAACCTCTCTTTAGACAAAAGTTAAACCTTTTAAATTAAACGTTTACAGATCTCTAGGATCTTAAGATGATTAAGGGTCATTACAGGCCATCTTATGATAGGTTAAAAAAATATATGTATATTATATATATCGGGCTTCATCTTGTGTGATGAATCAAGGCTGAGTGCCCTGTCATCTGTTTTAGGCCCGAGGAATCAGCTCCTCAGAGAACTCACATACAGCCAGGAACCCTCAGAGGAAGAATTCCTATAACCACATTCATTCTGAGTTCCAGCTTCCCTGGAGAAAGTCGGGTGAAGTGTCTGACATTTTATGAAGACAGATTTTCTCAATAGGGTTCACTCAAGGAAGAATTCTCTGCTGTTATTAGCTTTATTAAGCTTCCTGGACATTTGGGCAAAGAATTCTAGATGCCTTGTAGTCATTTTCTTATTCTACAGCCTCTCCTGAAGTCAGATGTATGAAGAAATAGTTGGTGACCTGGGCCACAGGAGAGGGGTCTTGTTATTAAACAGTCTTCTGTTTGTCACGGGACAAGAGTTAGATCTCTAAGGGAGGATCTGCCATCCTGGGATTGAAGGGATTGACCCTTAGTATTAACGGTCAGACTAGCCACAAGGATTCAGGAAAAATAATAGTAGACCTCCAGAGTCTTTAATGATGAGATCCTGAAATTGCTCAAGATTCTTCTGGACATGTGTGAAAAAATGCAATTCAAATCACCTCGAGAAGAAAGAAAATGGGATGGTTTTTGTAGCTGGAATAGCTCACAGGCCCAAAGGAACTGCTGGAGGAACTTGGACCTCAGATCCTAGAAGGGATCTCAGAACCACTGTACTCACATTCTCTTTCTATCCTACTTTGATCTCTGCTGGGCTCTGATTGGCTTTGTTCTGCACACTAGCCCGTTCAAACGATGGAGAAGACGCCTGCTGGCAGCCCCAGTCCTGGCTTCCAAACTTAGCAACCTCAGCGGAGAGAGAACTCCTTTCTGCCAAGTCCAGTTCTATGGAAGGGCTCTGGTCTTCCTTATGCCTCGTGCTCAAATGCTCCCCGCAAACACCCTATCTTGCCAGAGAGATGGGGAACTATGGTTTGATCACCCCCCCGGCCCACGTTTTTTTTGAACTTTTTGCTTACCTGTTGGTAGGAGGCACCCTGAGAAGAAGGTTATGAGTCAGAGGGCCCAGGACTAGGGTGAGGAGGGCAAGGCACTCACTTCAGATGCAAAATATAAGATGACATCTAACAATTCAGAAATCAAGATTAAATACGATATTTAAAGAAAGTCAAATTGGCCACCTGTGCCGAAAAGGATTGACTACCTGATTTGCCTCAAAGTTTTATTGGCACCAGGGCTGAGATAGCGGTGGACCAGAGAGGTAGGGCACCTACCAGAGAGGTAGGTCATGTGAAGGCAGGGTCAGCATCCATCTGTGTTTAAAATTGTGATATTTTGTTCAAAAGCCATCCTGGGAAAACATAAAATGTAAGATATAAAAGTCATGGAAGCAACTTGTTAGGGTTTAAAAGACCAGTTTTATACTCTTTTATCCATATATGTCTATCATATTAGGCAGATAGCATTTTTCCTTTTAGATTTTGATTTATTTTCCTCCTGTCCTATAGGATAATCTTTTGCCATGCCCTATGGCTTGTAGGATCCCAGTTCCTGACCCAGGACTGAACCCTGGCCATGGCAGTGAAAGCCTGGAATCCTAGCCACTAGTTAGGGAACTCCCAACATTACTTTTTTTTTTTCCCTCCTGCTAAAAGCTTTTGGAGAAAGTGGTTTTGCAATGATCCACTGACCTCCTCCTCACTTGCCTCTTCACCCATTGGCTATAACACCGAGGATGGCACACCCTGAAGCCAGGGGAGGTCAGCTGTTTAGAGGAGTGCCTTTTGCCTGGCTGCTTGCTTTGACTGGTTCAGAGCAGCACGAAAGAGAATCCTGCTTTTCACTCCCTGTAGGTTTTAGCAAATAAGCACCACCTCGCAGTCAAGGCAATCACTCCTAATTCACAGAAGGAAAAAGGGGCAGGAGGCAAGTAGTGCTGCCAGGGGGTCTCTTGGCCTGGAAACAAGGAGTCAGAAAGAAGAGCTGCCACTAATAATGACCTGCAAGCACCTAGCCTTTGTTTGCTTCCAAGTATTCAAAAACCTTGTTTTGCTCAAATGAATAGCACTGTCTTTGGAATGGAGACTGTCATTTATACTTCTGCTTAAAAATCATCATATGTCTGAACTTCTCCACCTCCCAGCTCGGGTCAGGGTTATAAACTGCTGGTGACTGCTGAGTGCTCCTAGAGGAGACTTCTCAGCACTGCACTTGGCTACAGAGTTGTGTCCGAAAGCAGCTGAAGGTCCGTTGGAGAGGCGGGTGGGTATCAGTGAAACAAGGTGAGCCATGTCAAGAACCAGTGACCGCAGCAAGCCAGAGGAAGGAGACCTTGGGAGGAGAGCAGTGTTGAGGAAATTATCATGAAAGGGGATGGACTTGGCCTTGAAGACAGGGTGCTCCAAGCAAAGAGAACAGCCTCAGTCAAGTTACAGGACCTGGAATATACATGGGATATTTGGGAACCGGTAGGATATTTGACCGGTTGTAAATCTAGTGGATGAAAGTTACCAAAGCAAATTACAACACATTAAACACTTCCTACAGACCAAACTCTGTAGTGCTTTTCATGTATCAATAAATTTAATCCTTTAGCTAGCTCATTTCATCAGTGAAGAAGCTGAAACTTATACTGGTTATATAATGTTTTCTGGTCACATAGTTAATATTTAAGACATTGGAATAAAATTCAGGTCTGTTTGACTTCAGTTTTCATGTTTTATTAATAACTTCTGCAATATGGTGAAGCCGAGGCTAGGAAGGCAGGAAAGAGACAGACTGGGGAATCCGCCCTTAGGTTTGCTCAGTCGCTTATGAGAAGGGAGAAAGCAAAAATGTGATGGCTACTGAGGTTTTGTGCTTGAGTGTGTTTTTAAAAAGTTTGTGCACAAACTGAAAACGTGTTTTGAATTACCTACATTGTACATCCATAACATAAAGCATGGGTAAAGAACCTGAAGAGAGCAAACATAGCCTGGATCTTGTATTTTTTGTTTTTGTTTCATGCAGGTAAGAGACACAAGCCAGTAATCAGAAGCTAAAACACTATAAAATTAAGTCTCCTAAAGCACACACAGACTGCTCGGGTCTTTGTGCGCTTACACAAAAATGGGAGATACTCGTTGAAATAACCTCTAGTTTTCCAAGGTAGCAATTTCTACTTTTATTGTTCTCCAAGGTGCCTCAGTGATAAAAGAATCTGCCAGCAATGCAGGAGACACAGGTTCAATTCCTGGACCGAGAAGATCCCCTGGAGAAAGAAATGGCAATCCACTTCAGTAATCTTGCCTGGAGAAGTCCATGGATAGAGGAGCCTGGCGGGCTGCAGTCCACGGGGTCACACAGAGTTGGACACCTCTGAGTAGGGGCATGGGCAGTCTATTTTTATGCATAATTGGAATAGATTAGCGAGTGTTGCCACGTACTGCCACTAGATGGCACTGTAAGACTAAAGTTAAATAGCTTTTTTCACTCTGCTCCCCCTGCAGCACCCCACCCATTTGTTTTCTAGTGAAAAAATGGATTAAGAAGTAATAAGAAGGCATACATGTTAAGAGGAGGGGGCTTAAAGAAAGAATAGCTTTATCCCAAGTATTATTCTTTATTCTACTGCATTTCCTTTTGGGGAACATTTACTTGCAGAAAAAGTAATTTCCAGTAGGTATTTATTTAGAGTTAATATTTAAAATTAGTTTTGGTTTGAAAATATACTCATTCACTCATAGGTGGGTAGAGCTTTAGACCTAGACTTTGGGTTGTCCTTTTGTGATGGTGTTTTAAATTGTGGTTTTAATAAAAAGAAAGCAGACATAAGACAGTGTCCTGTGACTATTGCTATCCGCATTTATGAAAACAGTATATCTTCAGAATGATATGGTGTTGGGGAGATATTCTTTTGACTCTACAGTCTCAGTGAGTTTAACAGAAGATAGCTCAGCACCTTTTATGAATGTCATTTGACTCAAAGATACCTAGCTTGGCTAAAATTCACAGAATTTTATTGTCTAAATTATGTGATGAAGATTTTTCAAAGAGGAGGAAGATTTTATTTTTTACCTTCCTGGTTGTAGTCCTTGCTTTAATATGCAGAGTTTTATTTCAGATAAAATATTTAGGATTTTGGGCTTCCAGTTTCATTTTTAATATTTCAGAATGTTAATATTGTTTTATGATCACTTCCTTTATTCTGATGGTCTTGTATTTCATCCTGGCTCTGACACATGAGTGCTTTCTACCTCCCTTCCACTCCTTGTGATTCTTTCTCTGTTCTTCCTCTCTGGCTCCTGGCAAAGCAGGTCCATCTCAAGAAATCTCTCTGCTGCATTCATGGTGCACGAATGCTTCCTTTTTCTATTTTATTTACTTGTCTGAATTTACTACCTTATGTAGTCTTATCCATTTCTTTTCAGCTGCCTTTTTTTTTTTAAGCAACTTTCATTAACCTTAGATAACAATAAAGAAGGTAAAAATAACAATAGTTTATTTCCCTCATTTTACCTTTCTCTCATTTTTGTGACTATATGACAGCAAAGTAACTGGTTTAGAAACCCAGTGTTTCCCTTTTATAACATCCAATCTAACACTTCCTTGGATTGATATTCATTCCCAGTGAGAAGACTGGATAGTGGGATTCATATGGAATTAGCCTTTGTTTCTTTCCATTTCCCACAGCCCTCAGTGTTTTCACTGTTTCTAGTCAATTTCATCCCAGTATTTCCTACTGCCTTCAGGGGATTTCTTTCTTATAGTTTGGGATTACACAGGACACGGGGATAGGGCTTGTGTTTCTCAACGCCCACTATTAAACCTTTTTTTTTTTTTTTTCTATCGTGCAAACAAACATAGGTTGAAATCAACACATCTGAGATCTAGGTACCAGTTTCAGAATTTCTCCTTCTGTAGAACCTGATTTCTGCCACGTGAGGATACACTGTTCTTCTCAGTCCTGCAGACTTCATCTCACTTTGCACCAGCTCTTCTTGGATGTGGCCAGCGCTGGCTTGTTAGGAGGCCTGCTGCCTGCTGATCTGATCAGCCAGCACAAAAGTGCTTTCTTTGTTCTATATTAGGAGGAGATAGGTTTTTGAATGTTTCATCAATAACTGAATAACCAACATGCAGGATATATAGGGCACAAGGGGCTTCCCAGATGGCGCTAGTTGTAAAGAACCCGCCTACCAGTGCAGGAGACCTAAGAGACGTGGGTTTAATCCCTGGGTCAGAAAGATTCCCTGGAGGAGGGCATGGCAACCTTTTCCAGTATACTTGCCTAGAGAATTCCATGGATGGAGGAAGCTAGCGGGCTTGGTCCATAGGGTCACAAAGAGTCAGACATGACTGAAGCGACTTAGCTTGCAATAATCAAATACCAGTTATCAGATAATTCCTATGGAGCACAGCTAGGAAATGTAGAGAATATGACCCATAGTACACAAAAGAGAAATGATTGCAAAGTCACAGATTTAAGCCCAGGGTTAAGTTTGCTTTAAATATTTTGGAGCAAAACAGACCAGTTGTAACTTTTGTTTGAATGAATCTATCTGGTAGGAACTTCTGTTGACATGCAGGGGAATCTAGGTCATTGCTACCCAGAGTGTGGTCCACGGACCAGCCACCACCAACCCGGACTTTTTAGAAGTATGGACTCTCTTCTGAGTCAGAAGTTGCAGTTTAGCAAGAGCTCCAGGTGATTTGCATGAACGTTATAGTGTGACAAATACTGACTCAGGTCCTGATTGGAATGAAGACGGCTTTGTCTTTTTCCAATTCCACCTTCGAGTCCCTGTAAAATAGCTTCAGTGGTTCGGGTCTATATATGACTTGAACTTTGTTCTGTGTAAGTCTCCGTCCCCAAATAAAGTGATTTTACATAAAGCAACCCGCCCACCCCACTACACCTGTATTCCTTTTCTTTCTTTTCTATGAAAATAATTTGAGTTACTTATTTAATTTTGGCTGCACCGGGTCTTCATGGCTGTGTGGGCTCTTCTCTAGCTGCCGTGGGTGGGGGCGACTCTGGTTGCGGTGCACGTGTCTCCCCCTGGCTCTTGAGCACAGGCTCAATAGTTGTGGAGCAGGGGCTTGGTTGCTCCAAGGCATGTGGGATCATCCCGGATCGGGGATCAAATCTGGGTCTCCTCTGTCGGCAGGTGGGTTCTTTATCACTGAGCCACCGAGGAAGGCCTGTATTAATTTTCAGTTGTCTCCCCTGTCCCTTTCAGCTGTGAAATGACTTTATTTTCTGTCTCTTTCTCCCAGGTCTCACCTGGCTTCCCCCCTCCCCACCACCTCTCCCGGTTCCAGCTGGTAACAGTTTAGGAAGCATGTTGCAGTAATACCGTGTTAAGGTGGTTTGAGCTGCCGGCTCTTGGAGACGTCAGCATCAGGACTGTTTCACCGTGAACCCTGGATGGGTGAGGGTAAACCCGGGGCCCTGCTGAACGTCCCCCTTCTCACACTGCAGGAAGCCCCACCACTCTTGGCGTCTCTTCCCCTGATGGCGGCGTTGCTGGCTGGGTAAGCAATTAGAAGTATTCTGCTTCTGGTCAAATAATTAGGACAGGTTCAAGACTTAAAATTATTTAGTGGCCTTGACATGACGTCATTGGGATCCCCTGCTATTTTAAACTTCAGTGCAGTCAGGCATTGGAGTTAACCGCGGAATAAATATTATAATCTTTATTTCTGACATGTGACATGTAACATTTTAGAATTTGTAGCACAGAAAAAAAGAAAATACTTTTTTTCCTAATTTTTTTCATATCAGTATGTTGTTTAGAATCGTCTTCAGGGTGTTTAGAATCATCTTCACACACTAAAAGGGTGTTTTAGTTTGGCAGTTGATGTTTCAGATTTTGTCTGTAATATTTTGTAAGTATTGTTTTTTTCTAATGTACCATCATTTATTGAAAGCATTTTTCTCCTTCTTTTTTGTTCAAGAAACATATATTCTCCAGATCTCCAACTGTGAGAAGAAAGAGGGATTAAAAACACTTCAGTGGTTCAAATCTAATATAAGCTAGTTTCACCCAAAATGCGGCATACCTAGTCTTTTTTTTCCCCTCCACAAAAGAATATGTAGTATGCAACATGTTAGTCTTTTTTCACACTTATTTTGGTTAATTTAAACATGCAATTTGGTCAATTTTGACTCTTGCTTGCAAGGTTAACTATAGGCCAGCACTGTTTGTTTCTTTAATATTGACTTAACTCTGACTGCTGTTGACATTTTTAAAGGTCTATTTCTTTTAATACTACATAATTTAAGGGGGAAAATCAAGACTAATTAGTTGTTAATGAGAAACGCATATAATGAGAAACAAATGTAACATTAATGTCATGTACAATGTATGTCTGTGTGGTTTAAAAGGTAGGAACACAACCATTATTCAAAATTAGGGAATAAAATCATCGTAATAATCACTAACAGATGTGTTGTAACTTGTGTTGCAAGTCAAGATTTCTTTGTCAGGACAATGTGTTGCCGCATTTGATAGCATGCGTTTGATAGGATTTGTGAAGGGTTTATGTATTTTTTTCCACCAAAATGTTTTAAAATCTAGCTGCCTGGCATTGTTAGAAGATTAGGAAAGACAGCACATGCTTTCTCCTCCTCACAGCTTTATTGTCCTCTCATCAGCACAGAGATGCTTGTTGATGCGCAGTTGTCAGGTTGGGTTGTGGCAGCCGGTCGCTTTGCCAGGCCTCTGTACACATGGTTTCAGCATCCTGTGTGTCCCAACCCCTAGTTTACAAATCACCCACTTATTTCGACAGGCTGTTCTGTTCCATGCAATGGCTGCAGTGTAGCGATGAGAGGACCTCATGTATCCCCCGTGCACCTGAAGCTGCCCAGCTGGTCCCCACAGTTCTCAGCCTCACTTCCCAGAATCTGCACAGCTGAGCAATCTCTCGGGTTCCAGAAATAGTCTTGCCACTTCAGAGGATTCTTCTTCAGTTGCTAAGTCATATCTGACTCTGCAACCCCATGGATCCCAGGAAACACGCCAGGCTTCCCTGTCCTTCACAGTCTCTTGGAGTTTGCTCAAGTTTATGTCCATTGAGTCGGTGACGCCATCCAACCATCTCATCCTCTCTCATCCCCTTCTCCTCTGGCCCTCAATATTTCCCAGCATCAGGGTCTCTTCCAGTGAGTCAGCTCTTTGTATCAGGTGGCCAAAGTATTGGAGCTTCAGCATCAGCCCTTCCAATGAATACCCTGGACTGATTTCCTTTGAGATTGACTGGTTGATCTTGCAGTCCAAGGGACTCTCAAGAGTCTTCTCCAGCATTGCAGTTTGAAAGCATCAATTCTTTGGCTCTCGGCATTCTTTATGGTCTAGATGTAGGGAGTTCTGAAATATTTTCCTAACCGAATGACAAACCAGAAGGACTATGGTCCTTTGGCTGGCAGTGGTGAAGATGTAAGGATGAGGGTGTGTAGGGCAAAGAAGGCAAGACAAATGGTAAAAGCCATCTGGAAATATCAGCAGGTGTGAAGTTTCAATTCTCAAGCTTTTGAACGGTGGAAACCTAAGTAGGTAAAAGTAAAACAGCAATTTTCATAGTTCTGCTCATCTATCCATCCAGCAGATTTTTATTGTACCCTCTATGTGTTGGAGCAAAAGTTACAGCAATGAATAAAACACAGAAAGTCTCTGGTCTCATTAGACTTATGGTCTAGTGAAGAACAGCTAATAATACTGAAGCTTACTGATTTGTAGGCACTCTTCTAATAACATGTGATACCTCATTTAATCCTTATAGCAATCCTCATATTCTAATTGAAAAAGTAATAAGACTAAAATGCGACATCACTGATACTAAAAATTAGAATAACACAATAACACATCCTTGTAGAGATACCTACTTGTTAGAAAAATTGTTTTGATTATTGCAAACAAACATTCAAGCTACTGGAAGAATTATGTAAATATCAGTAAAAGTGTAAGAAAACATATATATTATACAAAGAGAGAAAAATTTCCAATACATTAAAATTAACTCTGACAAAACACATTTAAAGGGAAAAGCAAGCATTGGAGAATGTGTAGGGAGGGTGTTTCACATTTATGTTGTTACTAGTTACTAACTGGCTTCTAATAGCGGACCCATAATTTTTCCCCAAAGTATGATAGGTACATAGACCACTTGCATCAGAGCCACCTGGAATGTTTGCTAAAATTGCCAGTTGGCGGAATTTCTTAGACATAGTGTATGTGAGTAGCTGGAGGCACAGCTCAGAAGTCTGTATTTTTCTCCAAATCCCTATATGATTCTTATATACATTAAAGTTTGAGAAGCACTGATGCAGAAGGTCATTTTCACAGTAGAATATCTCAGATGGTCTCTATTTAAAATTCTCAAAGAGTTATGCTGTGAGCTGGTGAACATCTGCCTAAAATTCTAATACAGGCACTAATAGTGTGTAATAACATACAGTTTCCATTAATGTGGAACAAGGGTGTCTGTTCTCTGGCACTATGAAACCCACAGTATTGTTTTGCTTTCTATGTGTATTATGAACCAGTGGCATAAATTTTCAATTTTTGTCTGACTTTATTTCTGATGTCTCTTGTTTTGTTTATCATACTCAATGTACTCAATGTTTTAGGATTTTCTTTGTTTGTTTATTTCCTGTGATTTTCTTATATCCCCAGCCTTCTCTCCAAACCAATTTCTTTCAAGTTATTTTGAAAACAATTATTTTTGTAAGGGTAAGGACAACTGATTACTAATCAATCTGTAATCAGGATCATTAAATTATTAAATATACATATGTATGTTTGTCTTTTTATTGATCAGGATAAGAGAGGCTGGGTTATGATAACAATTAATTTCAAAAATCTCAGTGGCTCACCGCACATGACATTTATTTCCCAGTTTTGCCACGAGTCTGACATGAGCATGTGGGGCGCTGCTCGTCACTGTCACAGAGGAACGTGGGCTCAAGAAAGCTCTGTGCTTTGCAGCTGTGCTGAGACATGTGCCTCTTGTAGGAGGTTTGAGGGTTGAAGGGTCCCATGTGGACTTGGAAATGCTTTGGTCTAGAAGGGACAGGTACCATTTTCTCTCTTAGACCGTGGGCCTAACTGGTTGCCTGGCTTTATCTAATAACACGGGGCAGGAAAGGTTGGGACAGAGTTTGTATCTTCCATGGGCACTAATATTCTTGCTATATTTTGCTACCTTTAAAATTCCAGTTCAGTTCCATGCCACTTACCATGAACACAGCAGATGTGGGTTTCTGTATTTCATTTAACTAGGAAGGAGGCAGAAAGAAGACACCTTTGTTACAAGACATTGTTACTTGTACCTTTCCATCTGTGAAAACAAGTTTTCTTCAACCCCTGGGAAAAAATAGAAATAATGTGTAAGATAGGAAAGGAGAAAAATCATGATGCAAAAGAGAAATAGAATACTTGATAAAATAAAACCTATGTGATAGTTTTTAATTCAACAATTTTTTTTTTAAACATAACAGTGCTAACACAAAGGCATACTGGTCAGGCACTACAAGAAACTGCATAGAAATTTTTTTTGGCTTAAAATTTTTAGTAAGTAAGTTACATGAAAATGCATGTTTCTCCAGCAGGAGTTACAGCAGTGAATAAAACCAATGAAGTGCCTTACATTAAATTTACATTAAAGAGCATAATAATGGTTGACATGTATTCAGGCTTACTATTAGTTTTCTTATTACTCCTTTACAAACATTATCTCTTTTAATCCCTTATAACAATCTCGTGAGCTGGTTGAATTTGACGAGGGAAGAGTAAGATAAATTTTGAGCAGATTGGTGCCCTCTTTTTAATTTTGTTTTGCTTTTTAATTCCTGTGAATCATCAGTAGACTTAAAAATATTAGGTTGGGCTATCTGAAATGATCATTTTTATAGGCCAAAATGATCAAATATTGTCAGTTTCACGTGTTTTAACCTAACAATAAAAATGTCTGAACATAATTATCAGAACAAAAATACTCATCATTATAATCCACTATTATTATGTTAGGGCTTCCCAGATGGCTCAGTGGTAAAGAATCCACCTGCCAATGCAGGAGACACAGGAGACCCACGTTCGATCCTTGGGTTGGGAAGACCCCCTGGAGGAGGGCATGGCAACTCCCTTCAGTTTCTTGTCTGGAGAATCCCATGGACAGAGGAGTCTGGCAGGCTACAGTCCATGGGGTTGCAAAGAGTTGGGCGCAACTGAGCATCCATTATCATGTTAGCATTTATTGAATAATTTGATATTTTTATCATTTTTTATCATGTTTGCTGTGCTAACATTTTGCATGTATTTTCTCACTTAATTCTAGATTAGTTTCCTATGGGTTTCTGCTAGCAAATTACCACAAACTTAAAAAGCCCACAGATTCATTATCTTTAAATTCTGGAAGTTAGAATTCTAAATATTTGTTTCACTGGGTTCAGATTAAATTATTGGTAGGATTATGTTCCTTCTGGAGATTCAGGGGAGAATCTGTTCCTGCCTTTTTCAAACTCCAGAGTCTGTCTCCATTCCCTGCCTCCATCTTTAAAAGCCAGTGACCACACCAGCTGGCCTCCGATGTCATGATCACAGCTCTTTCCCTGACTCTAAAGGGCATTGTAATTTCACTGGATTCACCATACTAATACAAAATAATCTCCCCATATCAAGGTCCTTAATTTAATTGCATCTGCAGAGTCCGTTTGTCACATAAGGTAACAGAGTCCCACATTCCTGGGATAAGGATGGGACAAGTTCAGGAGTCATTATTCATGCCCACCACATGTGGCATTATAAAGCACATTTCTGCAGCGTCTGTAGAACTCCTTTTTGAGTACACTGATGTAACTGAACATTCTTGACATAAATAGTTACAGAAAAAATTCCTTAATGTTAGTAAGATATAAGTAATAAATCACCTCTCCTGTTATTTCTATGACTGCCGCGAAACTCAGGGCCTAAATTTGTACTCGGTCACTGAACAACTTCTTTTCTCCTTTTCTGTGAATTCATATTTGTTTTTCCTTATGAACCATATATATGTATGTTTCAACTTATTTAAGAAACATGTCCAGGTTGTATATTTTCAGTAAGTAATACCAAAATCACCAGATGCAGCTTCTTGGTGAGTGGTTTCAGGATAATGATTTCTAAACCTGATGGATTTAGGAAGGGAATGATCTTACAACTCTCTTTTGTAATAATAATAACATTGCTTCATTCCTCAAAGGCATCCACGGGCAGAAACTCTTATTGGCAGCTTGACTTGAATTCTTCAGGGGGTTGATGGTAGGGCCATGTCTATAATTCCATTTGTCATTTCTGTGACTTGCTCTGCCTGATGCTGAGATAGTAAGGTGTCTAAATGAATAATTTTGGGCAGATAGAACTTAATGAGGGGTCTGAATTGCCCAGTGGCCTGAGGTCCTGATGTCGTCTTCTAAGATGGTGGGTATGCACGTAGTCGTAGATCTTGAGCAGAACTTTCCAGTCTGGCATGCCATCACATAAACTCGAGTGTGGCTTTAACTCTGAAGTACTAGTCAATGGAAATCTTGTTATCAGTTCTCTGACAGAATGCCTGCCACACAGTAAATGCTTCATAACTATTGTTGAATTACTAAGAACAAATTTTGAATAGTGCACACCTTTGGAAGTTATTTGTTGTGTTTTCTAGCACTAAAATCAAGATTCAGTGTTTGGTTGTTTGTAGAACAGGTGGTGTCATGATGCCTTGAGATATTTCTTTGTCAAGCTAACATAATGTGAGGGCTTTTGAAGGTGAAATGAGTGACTGAAATGGGACATAGGAGTGTTATCGTCTGTGGATTCTTGGTGAGAAGAGGCCACGTTGATGAGGATAGCAGAGATAGTAGGGTGCAACCTGTTTCTCTGACTGGTTTAAGGAACTGGTTTCCAGCCCCCGGGAGAGAAGCTGAAGGAAGAGCCATATTAAGGTACCTTGGGCAGAAGCAATGCTGAGGGGCCCTCAGGAAAGAAGTGCGCCACACACTTTTGAGGGCAGTCATCCTATCCTTTGCTGAGCCGTTGTTCAGTCTCTTAAGTCACGTCCGACTCCTTGCAACCCCATGGCCTGCAGCACGCCAGGCTTCCCTGTCCGTCACTATCTCCCCAAGTTTGCTCACACTCATGGCCATTGAGCCAGTGAGGCCATCCAACCATCTCATCCTCTGTCGTCCCCTCCTCTTGGTTGAGCTGTGGATCCCATGTTCGCCTCGGTGCCGTGAGGGTCTTGGCTGCCGTGTGTGTGAGGACCCTGCTCATGTCACAGAAGGCATGGGCGGCTAACATGGTGCCTCAGAAACAAGTCAGCTTGTCCCTGGGCACCTGTATATTGTTGAATTACTAAGAACAAATTTTGAATAGTGCACACCTTTGGAAGTTATTTGTTGTGTTTTCTAGCACTAAAATCAAGATTCAGTGTCTGGTTGTTTGTAGAACAGGTGGTGTCATGATGCCCTGGGATATTTCTTTGTCAAGCTAACATAGTGTGAGGGCTTTTGAAGGTGAAATGAGTGACTGAAATGGGACATAGGAGTGTTATCGTCCGTGGATTCTTGGTGAGAAGAGGCCAAGTTGATGAGGATAGCAGAGATAGTAGGGTGCAACCTGTTTCTCTGACTGGTTTAAGGAACTGGTTTCCAGCCCCCGGGAGAGAAGCTGAAGGAAGAGCCATATTAAGGTACCTTGGGCAGAAGCAATGCTGAGGGGCCCTCAGGAAAGAAGTGCGCCACACACTTTTGAGGGCAGTCATCCTATCCTTTGCTGAGCCGTTGTTCAGTCTCTTAAGTCACGTCCGACTCCTTGCAACCCCATGGCCTGCAGCACGCCAGGCTTCCCTGTCCGTCACTATCTCCCCAAGTTTGCTCACACTCATGGCCATTGAGCCAGTGAGGCCATCCAACCATCTCATCCTCTGTCGTCCCCTCCTCTTGGTTGAGCTGTGGATCCCATGTTCGCCTCGGTGCCGTGAGGGTCTTGGCTGCCGTGTGTGTGAGGACCCTGCTCATGTCACAGAAGGCATGGGCGGCTAACATGGTGCCTCAGAAACAAGTCAGCTTGTCCCTGGGCACCTGTGAGTTGCCTCTGGTGATCCTCAGACATTCCTGGGGAAGATTTTGAGTGGGTCTTTGCGTTCAAGGGCACCCTGACTCCCTACTCTTGAGTTTGTCTTTGGGAGGAAGCTGTTGGTGTCTCTCTTTCCCCTTGATCTGTTAGAGAAGTTTTAAAGGAGAAACTGGGTTTTCATGCCCTATTTCCCTTTCCCTTTCTCTTGGGAAGGAGCCTGGCTGCAGGCAGTACAGGTCCTGCCGGGCAGTGAGAAGGGCCTGTCTCATGTGGCCAAGCCAAGTTTTCTTCCACTACCTGTGCCTTGGTGGGGCTGTGCATAATGCTGGGTTAGCATTAAAAAGTCCCACAGGCCTGCAGCCATGAGTCACGTCCTCCCATCGTATTTCTACTGCTAGTAAAGATGATATTTTGGACTCCCATTTTACTCTGGCTTCATTTCTCAAGTGTTTCAGGACACAGGCAGAAACTGTAACAACCTAGAGTGCAAGATCCATAATTCACATGCAAAAATCAATTGCCTTCGTATACACCAGTGTTTCTTAACTGAGGACACGCTCAGCCTCTCCCCCATGTGACAGGGGGCAGTGTCTGAAGACAGTTTGGCTTGTCACGACTGGGAATGTTAGTGCTACTGGTATCTAGTAGGTAATGGTCAGAGATATGCAAATATCTCACAATGCACTGGAAAGCTCCCACAGCAAAGAACTATTGGGACCAAGATATGAATAGTGCAGTGTCACGTTTGAGAGACCCTTATAGACACAAGTAACAGCTTGCTAGGAGATGTAATGAAAAAACTCAATTTAGAAGAAATTCCAGATCTGCTAAAAATTTAAAATTTTCAACTAGAGAAAACTCCAGCAACAGCAACAACAAAATGGAAGAATCCTTAGGAACAAACCTAACAATAAATGTGCCAGATCTGCATGAAGCGATCAGTATAACACTCTTGCCTCAAATAAATTCAAAGACATCCCTTCCCTTTGGGTACGATGTCTCAACCTTATCAAAAGTCAGTGCTCCTAAGTTGATTTATAGACTTAATATGAGCCTAATAGACATACCAGTATGTGTTGTTTTGTGGAGTTATACAAGTTGATAGCAAAGTTCATGCTGAAAAAAACATGCAAGAATAACTAGGATAACATTGAGAAGGGAAAGCTATGAGAAGGACCATATTTTAAATACCCCATAAAAGCCTTTGTAGTAAAAATGGTGTGGGCCAGCTGCAAGGATATGTAGACGGATCAGTGGAACAGACTGAAACATCTAGAAATAGTCCTACATACATGTGGCATTTTAGTATATGAAAAAAGTGTCAAATCATTGGAGAAAGGATGGATTATTTAATAAATGGTGTTGAGATGACTGAACATTTATTTGGAAAAAAAGATAAAATTATATCCTTTTCTTATACCAGTAAACAGAAATAAGCTTAAAATGGATTGTATTTCAAAGTAAAAAGATTTATATAGGGTCCTACTAAAATCTGGATTTAGGGAAAATTTCCCAAGTATGACTCCAAGTAAAGATGACTTAAAGAAAAAATTTGATAAGTTTGACTATATACAAATTTTTTTTTGTGTCAAAACTAATACCACAAGCAAAATCAAAAGCCTAAAATTCCTCAAACATAAAGAACCTTTCAAAATTGAGAGAAGAAAGACAAAAATCCCATAGAAAAATGGGCAAAAATACATGAAGAGACAACTTATAAAAAAACGTTGCATCAGTTGCATGCTTATGATGTGAAGTTTATTTCATAACACCTTAATAAGTTCAAGTTAAATTTCTCTTCTCATATATACTCCTTCAAGATATGCTGTCTTTTGCTCCCTATTTTAATTCATACAATCCCTATGTACTCCATAAACTGGAAACCTTGAGATCATTGCTGTTTATTTTTTTCCTCATTATCCACATAAATATAGGATTCTAGGTATTCTTGAATTGGTATCTTTTCTTTCTGTGGCCACTGGAATTGCAATAGTTTAGGTCATCATCTCTTCTTGCCTGAGTTAATGATGAGTTTTTAACTTTGAAAGCAATTATCTAAATTCATAATATGAATTATTCATATTATTCATTCATGTTCTAAACTCATAGTATTGTCTAATTTACAGTCTGTGTTATATTAAATATAATTTTACATAATATTTTTCCCTTAAAAATTTATGAAATATTATCTTATTGCTACCAGATAGAAAAATCTAAGCATGTAAAAGAAAAGTGAATGATTTCCTTATGAATTTGTTTTCACTTTGCTGAAATCAACCACATAAATAGCAGAGTACATGACATTCTCCACCTGTCTTCATGTACGTAAAAAGATATCAAATATGTGCAAAGATAAACAGGTTTTTAAATAAGAAAATACTACTCTACATATTAGAAATTAAAAGACGCTTGCTCCTTGGAGGAAAAGGTATGACAAACATAGACAGTGTACTAAAAAGCAGAGACATTACTTTGCTGACAAAGGTCCATGTAGTCAAAGCCATGGTTTTTCCAGTAGTCATGTATGGATGTGAGAGTTGGACTGTAAAGAAGACTGAGCACCGAAGAATTGATTTCAAAGTGCTGTGTTGGAGAAGATTTTTGAGTCCCTTGAACTGCAAGGAGGTCAAACCAGTCAATCCTAAAGGAAATCAGTCCTGAATATTAATGGGAAGGACTGATGCTGAAGCTGAAACTCCAATACTTTGGCCACTTGATGTGAAGAGCCAACACATTAGACAAAACCCTGATGCTGCGTAAGATTGGAGGCAGGAGAAGGGGATGACAGAGCGTGAGATGGTTGGGTGGCATCACAGACTCAGTGGACTCACGGTTTTGAGCAAACTCTGGGAGATGGTGAAGGACAGGGAGGCCTGGCGTGCTGCAGTCAATGGTGTCGCAAAGAGACGCACCTGAGTGACTGAACAAAAACAACAACTGTGCATATTATTCTACATTTTTTTTCACTTGAATTAACTTAAAAATTTTTTTCCATTTATTTTTATTAGTTGGAGGCTAATTACTTTACAATATTGTAGTGGTTTTTGCCATACACTGACATGAATCAGCCATGGATTTACATGTAGTGTGTTCAGTCACAAACTCCCAATCTAGCCCTCCCCCTCTTCCTTCCTTATAACCATAAATTTTTATCTAAGAAACTTTGCTTTTTTAAATAGGCCTCCAGATTAATAGAAAACATTTTTTATTGCCTGGTGTTGTATATTTCACAATGAACAAACTATATTTTTCATCATCTTCCTATACATAATAATAAAATTTATTTCAGTTTTCCTTTGACACATAAAAATCTTTGTACATATATCCCTATATTCTAATGCTTTTATTACTGTCAAATATATTTCACATAGTGAGATTTCTGCTTTTAAGGACATACAGCATCTTGATTTTAACTTTAATTTTCCTGAATATTAGTGAGATTGTACATTATTTCATTTATTTGTTTGCAGTTTGGATATGTGCTCCCTAAGTCTGCCCACTTTTACGTTCAGTCTTTTATCCATCTGTATGTGTACTTTCCATTCTCCTGGGCTAGTAATGGATGAGTTGGCCAGTTCTCAGTCCTCTATAATTTTTGGGGAAGAAGAATCTCTGTTCTGAGATTTTTAAGGGGCAAAGGGACAGTCCTTTCATTACAGAAGCTGGGAACAGTTTTCTCATGTTCTAGCTTTCTCCCAGGACAGCTGAGCCTGGTGGGCTGTGCTGCTGGCCCAAGGATTCCATTTATAAGGTTCTCCGGAGAAACTTTGGCTTGTTTTGAAGGGTCAGTGGGTTCTGATGACTTTTGCTAGCTGTACCCTTTTAGAAAGCCAAGAAATTTCAGTTTTCTGCCTTGGGCTTTAAAGAGAAGCTATTTTTGTGTGTGATTCTTCCCCCCCTCCCGGCCTTGGCTCTCATCTGCCTCTGGGAGAAAAGCTCTGGTGATAGTCCTTGGAGATTCAAGTAGAACTTAGG